TGAACCGCTGAACTGCTGATCTAGCAGTAGCCTGCAGTGCTGCATTTAACCACTGCGCCACCTTGTAATTATACTCTCTTATAGGTTTCGACCTCTTCATTTGCATGCTCTCTTTCTCTCTCAGAAAAATGTGCTCCTTGCTACATCCCCCTAATCTTTCGACCGTAGAAAACGCATCAAGATTGTTGAAAGGGAACCTTGGAGGTCTTCTAGGCCAACCCCCTAGTCCATTAAAGGGACAACCACAATCCTAGACCTTCGCATCGTTTTAGGAATTCAGACGTGGGGTGCTCTTCTCTGGTGGCCTTCCAGTGGGCTGGGGATGATGGGGGGGGGGTCTATGGAGGCTTAGGAAAGAATTTGGAGAAGGTCGTTGGTGGTCTCGGGCGTAAAAGCCATCGTGAACTGGACTTTATCAGGGGAGATGATGAGCATCCCGTATTCCGCTTAGCCATCTTCCCCTTTCTTTCTCTTCCTCTTTTTCCCCGTCTGCAGACCAGCGAGGAAGTCGTTCAGAAGATGATGGGGCTTAAAGTCCCTCCGTCCCGTACCCAAAATAACGAGACTCTTTACATTCCTGACTGGGAGAAAAAAGTCCCAGATTCTGTCGATTACCGGAAAAAGGGTTACGTAACCCCAGTCAAAAACCAGGTAAAGCCCCACTGGTTCCTTTTCATGGGCTGATGCTTGTTCGATGGAGCTCCAGTTGCATCTCTTGTCCGGCTGTTCCCTGGTGTGTCTCATCCTTTTGGGGTTGTACCGTTGATACAGCTTCATTTGTGGGTTGGACCACTGATACAGCTCCCATCTCTGCTCTCGCCAAAGTTGGCTTCCTAAGGAGTTAAAATCGGAATCTGATTTCCCTTTTGGCAGCCAAGAGATCTATTAGACTTTCCCCTGTTCCTCACAGGAATGATGGGGAGGAAAAGGATCCAAAGGCGGACAGAATTGCAGCGTGAAATACGCCGAGTAGAACTGGAGTTAAATAAAAAAAAATAAACTTCTAAATAGAATGAGCAGCTTAGACAAGGAAAGCGAGAAAGGGGGCCGGGGGTTCGATGAGGGACGGAGAGCCAGTTCTGAGATATTTAAAATTAAAGGAGAGGAATAGGAAAGGCAGAAGAAGGGGGGAAGGATAAAAAGGAGGAAGAGGAAGAAGAGAAGGTAAAGAAGGTGGGAAGAAAGAAGAGAAGAAAGAGAAGAAACTGGGGGAGGAAGGAGGGAGGGAAGAAGAGAGATTAAGAGAAA